TATATTGTTCATCAAAATCATATACTGCATGTGCGATTGATGGAGAGCTTTATCTGCCCACTGGACCATATAAATATTTCTCAAATAGGCCTTTGGAGCAATATAGTGCACTAAATATTGCAAGAGAACATGTAAATAACCAGAGAAATCAGTTGATGATGCAGAAAGCATGGCAATGTTTGCTGTTCTGTAGCCCTTTGGACCCTCTGGACTCTGGAACACTACAGCTGCATCCTGGCTTGACCTATTTTTTGGTTTCTGATAGTAGACAGACTTACTGGAACCCTGCTGTATTGCTGCACTGCTGCATTCATATAACCACAGAGTAAACATGGCAGATGTCATATGCTGTAAAGACTTGTAATGACATATAATATCCAGTGATATAAAGTGTCATTTTACTATTGCTGTTAATTGATATGATACAGGTAATAATGTTTTATGCCATGATGGCCAACTAGAGTACACAGCAAAAATGAACATGTGACATAGGCTGTCATGATATCAAACATCAGTACATTTGTCATTACAATTACCAGCAATACACACTCCAGTGTTTATATTTACTAAACAGTTGTTGCTATGAGTATTTTTAGCAGTGGTGGACAGTAATGAAGCAAATGTAATTCATTACTGTACTTAAGTAGTTTTTTCATGTATCTGTACTTTACTGAAGTATCTCCATTTTGGGCGACTTTTTACTTTCACTCCACTACATTTCAAAGTCAAATATCTTACTTTTTACTCCACTACATTATGCAAAATCTGTCATTCCTTTTGGCTTTTGTGTGTATAAAAACGTAACGTCAAAACGAAAGAAGCGCAAAGCAAGAACACCAATCAGGGCACAGCGCGCACTTTGTTTTGAGATTTTTATGACCTGTTGGACATACCGACCCAGCGCAAGCATACGGTTCAACGTCAGTGCAGCAGTGTAAAATTTTGGGAGTGTCTATTCCAACATAAATGATGAACTAACCTAACTTTGTGTAAATAGACCACAATATAGAAATATGTACACATATGCAGTTGTGACTGGCGTATGTCTTTTTATGAATTTATACAAACACATTTCATTTTATAGTAAATTTGTTTTGGTTAGTTTATGTTTATGAACAGAGACCTACAGATGCAATATGGTAAAGGAAAACTCATTTGTGAACCTGTGTTTAAAGCAAGTTTTTACTAAACTTAAACTTGTAACTAAGTTGCATTAAGTTAATTAATCTTTTAGTACTTTTACTTTCGATACTTAAGTACATTTGAAAGTAAATACTTTTGTACTTTTACTCAAGTGGAGGTCTAAAGGGAGGACTTCTACTTTTACTGGAGTAATATTTTACCTTGGATATCTCTACTTTAACTCAAGTACATTATTTGTGTACTTTGTCCACCACTGATTTTTAGCCACATTGCATTTAAAAATTGGGAGTGAATGAAAGTTGGTGCATAACGATAGTTGAACCGTGAAGCTGAACCACAGTATGGCTGCTGAGGACAACTTCAGTGTTCAAAGGGCAGATTTACTAGTGTTTCACGCCGTCCCAAACCCATTTTGGTGTTAAAAAGTGACTGTCGCAATCAGAATTGGGTGGAATAGTTTGAAAAGTAGTGTTGGTTAAACACTGAATACACTGTCCTACATGTATTAATGTGATGTATTTCATTACAATACATAAACAAAGTAACTAACACATTTTAACAGTAACTGTATTCTAAATATTGTCTTTACAAAATGTAACTTGGACTCAATATAAACACTAAATTTCTGTATTGTGAATATATATTCTGTTACATCCTAACTTTGATCCTGATTTATAAAATATGCTCAACCAGGATTATGCCAGTTATACAACTAATGATTGGATAAATGTGAAGTATTTGCTGTCAGTGCTGATGATCAAAACAAGGCACTAAATACACAGGGGTAAATGTATCTCTGGCCATATTTAGATGTGCATAAGATAGAGATGGGACAGTCAGATTTAAGTCGCATGTTGACTAACACAAAAACCTGACTGCCTCAGCCAGGAAGCTTAAACTGGGCCATGGATGGAGTAGTTGTTAGAAAATAAAGGGTTTTGAAGGCATCTTGACCTTAAAGGGGAAATCTTTTCAAAATGTCCAGATAATTAAATTATTGGGATTTAAACAAGTTCTTTCAGAGTGGTTTAATGTGAAATGGTTAACTGTAGAGAAACATACTGACTTCTTTACAGTGTTGGTGATAGTTACCAGGGATCGGGATGTCTACAGTGTGTGCTATCCAAAACCACCATGCTGCAGTTGGAATTCCACTGCCAGCCATACAATTATAGCAGGGTTGTTGCTGCTCTTCATTGAACTAACTACAGAACATATTTACATATAAAGTCTCTCTGCTGCCACGGAGATACCCATGGTGCTCTGCACTTATTTTCGGGTACTATTTTGCCTTAAAAGGTCATGCATGTATCTCTTCACTATGAATGCATTAAAAACTATATGTTTTAAGCCAAGAACCTTCACAAAAAACATTGTCTCAGGACTTAAGCAGTATATTTGTAACTTTTTTATGTATGAGCTTTCTGTGAGGCAGCTTTGAAATGTTCAGTAGCTGTTCAAGGCATGAAACACTTCAGACATCTGGTTCCTATCACTGTGAACAATTCTGTTCACAGTGATGGGAACCTGTTTAACCAGTGATAGGAATCTGTTTAAGTGAGGTAAAGAAAACAGGCTAGGCTAACACAACATTAGCTAACTGGCTGACAAATCAACTAGTTTAACCCATAGAGTCTCTGGTTTACCCTCACTTCATAGTGAGTGTGAGAGTGAAAGAACAAGAGAGATAGAAATAACGTTATTGACAGCTTTTTATAGTCTTTGTTTTTAGATTTCGCTTCAGTATTTGGAAACAATAACATCAGTATTTGCCATATATTGTTGTTGCATTAATACAGTAAGTTAATGTCAGTGAAAAGGTCGAGGCTGAAGTTTTTTCCTATTCGCCAGATTCTTGTTCGAGTTTCCGCTGTGAGGCACCAGAATGAAACTGCTGCAGCATTTAAGGTGGAAAATTCAATCAGGAAGCTGATTCAGTTTAGTGTGAAAAGATCATCATAACCTGGTTTTATATTCCTCAATTCCTCAACCTGTAGATGGACATTAAGAGGCAGCAGCTCCGTCGAAGGCCAGTCAGAGGAGAATATTTTTACCAGTTAAATTAAACTGATTGATCATTATTTCCTTGAGTTCTTATAAATCTGAGTTTAATAAAATGAATGTATTACTAAACACAGAAAGAGAGGGAGAGAAAGAAGCTGAAGGAGACTGACAGGACTGAAGGAGCTGATCTGATGGAGGTTAGTGATCAAGAAGAAAGCGAGGGAGAGCTGTATTAGCTTTTGGTTAAAATTAATACTGAATTTAATTTAACTAAGAAAACATAATATTTGTCACCATGACCATGAAATTCTGTCACCTAGCTTATTAAACATGCCTACAGAGCAAAATCACACTCTTTCTGATTGCACCAACTGAGACTGAGCAGTCTAATATGCTTTTTGATAGGCTACAACGGGCTGGCTCCTTACATTGGGGCAGTGGAGGTTGGGGAAGCAGCCTTGTGACCGGAAGGTCGATCCCTGAGCTGACAGCATGTGACTGAAGTGCCCTTGACCTAGGCACCTAACCCCCTAACAGCTCCCTGGGCGCCGTGGATAGGGCTGCCCACCGCTCTGGGCGCGTGTGCTCATGGCCCACTAAAAAACACTTACATATGTCCATGTCCATCTACTGCTAGCTCTGTACTGAGAACAGTTGCTGTACAGCAAACTGGAAACTTTGTTGGGTATTATGGGAAGTGTAGTGTTTGTAAATTACTGCAGTCATAATGTTTTTGTTATGTAGTTTAGCACAACATAATTAACTCTATATCTTGCATGTTTATGTGACATGGAAACATTGGGTCCAGTGATGATCCTGCTTTTATACCTTTGGATGCTATTTTTTGGGTTTATCTTCACACTTCTACCAGTGTTTGTGTCATCAGCTGCTGTGGTTACTGATATCACTGACAGTTGTTTTGGTTTTTTTTTCTTTATAGCTCGCACAGTGTATCTGTCATCAGCTGCTGTTGTTTTCTTTGGCCAAGCTGTTTGATGGTTGCTAGTACACCAGTGGTTTCTTTTTTTCAGGACATTCCAAACTGTTACACTGGCTAAGCCCAGTGTTTGCAATGACTTTGCTTTTCCCTCTTTTCTCAGCTTCAGAATGGTTTGCAAATGCATTTTCACAGGAAAAAACAGGGCTCAAACCATAAGTAGACATTTGGAGCAATTAGTTGTTTAAAAATTAATGTAACAGGGCACACCTGGGCAACAAGTAACACCTATTAGTCATATGTTCCAATATTTATGCTGGGTGGGTTCAAAGAAGAGGTGCCATGTTTTAAGCTGTTCAACACATCTAGATGTGACTATCAAGAAATAAAAGCTAACATTCTGATGTATCATTATCATTTTTTGATCTCAAACCCAAATGTCTTTGGTTCATAGAAAAAACGTAAGTACTTTTAGAGTAGACTGTATACTGCGCTGACATTGGTCGAGTTAAATAAAAACAAATGGCAAAAATACAAATGTTTCATATTGTTTCAGAAATAAAAACTGACATCCTCTGCTTAATTTCATGCTTAATTTCGATCTGGACATTCTATGGATATATAACAACAATAACACAATAGCTGCAAAAAAAGGATGAGGAAAATTAGGATATTAAAAAACTGATGCTTTAAAATATCACACATATTCCTAGCAGGTGGGCAATATGAACATCACTACAACATTAAACTCCTGCAGTTTAGTAACTCTTACAATTATCTCATATTTAAAATAAATCTTCCTCCAGTTTTCAGTTGATCACAGCTAGGATATCTCACTGTAGCTAAAAATTAAGAAATAATAAATATGCATTATGTACATTTACATTTCTGTAAAGACAAAGATAAAAAGAAATAGTGAACATTCTTAAATGCTTTATTAATTTTGCTGGAAAACATAATCAATGAACAACATAGAGCAAGCAAAGCTTATGAATAGTTCAAAGGGCTTCTTTTTTAATGCTACTTAAGAGGTTAAAATTGTAAATGACATTTCATTTGATCTCGAGGCGCTGTGTTTTATATAATATTTTATTTTTTTTATTCAGGTCATGAAACTAAGAGGAGCTCTCTGGTCATCATCATTTATTGTATTTGACTGCACACAATCCATTCTTCTGCTAACTGAATGGACGTTTACCTGAATGTAGTTTGAATGGCAGCCTCCTCAGTTATTTATCACTACACAAACATCTAAACTTTAACACAGCATGTTAAAATGACTTCACTGTGATTCTTCTTTAAGCAGTGAAGTGCACAACTAACCCCCCCACAGCATTTTAATGGGAACCTGTGGCTCACTGTTCACAAACAGGCAAGAGAATTTCTCCATTATTGCAGCGCTGACGGAAAGGAACACTGCCTTTCACTAGTCTATATCCTCTTTTACAAGAAAACGCAATAAAATCTTTATGTGTTGAATAGATTTTTTCTGTGTATTTATGCCTTAGCTGTATATTACGGTCATCCATAGCTTTAAGATCCACAGTGCAGGGTTCTGAAATCAAACAAACATGTTTTAATTAGTACATTCATGGTTGTGTTTATGTTCAGTGATATAACTGAGACAGTACATAGTACAGATTAAGACATGGAAAACATACAGATGGAAAAAAGAGCATCTCCTTATTATAATACAGTTACTCCTCTGTGTATCACTCTGCTCTGTGTGGTTTGTGTAACTCTGGAGTTCCTCTTCTTCATTTTAATTCCCGGATTCCCTGAACTTCACGTTTTTCCAGCTCTAACGTGCTCGAGCTAACCTAATGAAGCTCAGTAATGAGACGATGTGTGGAGTCAAGTGTGCTGTTAGCAGAATAAACACTAAAATGTGCAGAGAAGGAGAACATCAGGACCAGCATTGTGAATCACTGATCTACTCATAAATTGAGGAATACTGTAATCTACACCAGGGGAACAGTTGTAGTGACTAATTGTTGTTTATGACCTCCCTTAAGGGGAAGATCTAACTACAACTGCCCAGATACACAGAGACTTACCGGTTTATTAGATACATTAATGTAGCTCCTCAGTAATTGGTCATTTAATCAGCCGACCATAGAGGTGCACATTATAGATACATGATTACTGACTGTAGCTCATCTGTCATGCAGTGCTCAGCTGCTTGCCATTTTGTTCATAAACTCATTTTTGACATTTGCTGAAATTATGTTTATCTTCTCATCCGCAAGTCTTTGAAAGAAATAGTTTTACGATATTAATAATCACTGAGCAGTAAATGTTTAGATTAATTTGGTTTGGTTACACCTGAAAATCTGTTTTTAAATGGTAATAATTAGTTTTCTAATGTTTAATGTACTAAGGGTCTAATGTTTTTTTTTCTTTTGTTTGAAATGTGTTTTTGATTGAAGTTAAAAAAAAATACATGCCCGTGTATTTTTCCATATGTTTTTTATTTTATGTATTGTAATTAATGAATTCATTTATTTAACTAGTCTCTTTTCCTTACTGACATCATTTTTTAAAAGTGAGCGAACATGATCACTGGAGCGAAGCATTACAGGAACTAGCAATAAAATAACATTTTTCTGCAACTGTTAATGCACAGTTACTTTATATTTGATTAATGTAAAAAATAGAAAAGAGTAAAACAGTAGTACTCACTCCAGCACTTCCCACTTCCTGCCCATCTGCCTCGTGTGCAGGTCAGATCACCTTCCTTAACATAGAGTGCAGGACAGTCATAAGCAGCTTTTTCACCGTTCTCATATCGATCCTTAAAATCCTGTACGGCATGTTCAATCTGTGGGGGCCGGCCACAGTCTAGTGTTGTTGCTGTTCACACACACACACACACACACACACACACACACACACACACATACACATTGTATAAAAGAATTGTAGGTACTTTGTCGTGTTCTTTCATGCCCAGTCAAGCAACACACTAAAATTAGGCCTGTTATCACATGGATTTCACTGGGCTTCAGAACGAGCCTACAACACTGTTTTAGTCTGGGCAGCACAACTTTCTTGCAATTTAGCAGCAACATCCCCAAAGTAGCAAACTGTAGAGGAATGATTCAGTTCTCTGTACCAAACATGTAGCTTTTTTCTACCGTGTTTGTGTCTTAGTAGTCTTCTGTGTGCAAGTCTGAGTCTTATATGGGTGCCTGATTATACACAAATTGTATATTGATACATTTAGATTGCCACAAGCCAAACACTGTACATCTTGGTCAGCAGGGGTAGAAAGTACTTTGTACTTTGTTACTATGATTGTTACCATAACTGATGTATTATTTTGAAACGTTTTATTTTTGAATGCTTTTTACACCTTTTTATTTAGACCTTCACAGTCTTTGTTCCAAATCTCTATAACCAAGAAATGTTAGTTTTTTTGTATCTTTCCAGTCAATCAAATTACTGCATGTTTTAATAATTTGTTTTTCTTAAAATATCCAACCAAATTCACATTACTGTAAAATGAAACTGCCCACAACTTTGCTAATTTCTCTTTATAGAAGGACTAGTACAGCCCATTTATGACCAAAAAAGGGAAATCTTTTAATTTCTGTCAAAACACTTTTTATTTTTATATGTCTGAGGAGGTTTAAATGTTGATCCTTTTGTTGTTTTTTATCTTGCGCTCAAGTACATTTTTGGCTCACACGTTTCCTGCATACCTCTAAAGCTTTCATTGATGGATTATAAAGTTTTAGCTGGCATTGAATACATTCTCGGTCTTAAAAATAACTCCTCCATGCACAGGTCATCTTAGCAGTTTTTCCACATTGTTTTCTGGGTCACCTCAAACATGTTTTGAGCTCCATTTCTCTTCAATTGTGCAAGTGGTTGCTTTCACTATTTTTCAAGGCTATCGCCTTATTTCATTTGTCTGTTGTCTCGATGACCAGGGCACTTTTAGTCACTGTTGAAGTCAGTATAACAGTACTGGAGAGCGACAAGGGAGTCATGCCTTGAGGACCAGGCCCCAGCTGCATAAAACACCTTAAACTAAGTTTTCCCCTAAGACAGGGGTGTCAAACTCAGCCACTCAAAGGGCCATATTTAAAAATCACAGTAAATCTGTGGGCCAGCTGTGTTTTTATTTTTGCTTAACATTTTGCCATGACCCAAACGGGCCGTTGTTTATTCAAAACAGGCCAAAACTGCAACAGGAAAATAGAAGCATTGAATACATATTCAAAAATAATTCTAAATAAAAATAAATTGTTTTAGGTAATCTCTCTCACTCACTATTAAACTCTCACACAGTCATACTCTCTCACACTGCATGCAAGGCTTGCATGCAGCTGCTTGGCCATAGAAACCCATGCCATGAAGCTCCTGGTGCACAATTTTTGTGCTGATGTTGATGAAAAATAGATGAGAAAAAAACAAAACTCTGGAAGCAAATTTGACAGTCAAGAAACTGAAGCTGAAAAGAGCTTCTGTAAACAGGACAATGAACCAAAACATAACTCAAAATCCACCTACTTGAGGAAATGCAAGCTGAAGCTTTTGGAGTGCCCCCCACAGTCCCCTGACTTATAGATCATTCAAAAACTGTGCGTACGTGTTAAATGTGCATGCAAGACGGCCCAAGCATATCGTAGAACTAGAAACGTTCTGCATGAAAGAGTGGGTTAAAACTCCTAACTGACAACAAAATCATTTGCAGATCTGATACCTGCCAAAGGTACTGGTTTAGTTGGGTGTCCAAACTTGTACACATACCACCATCACTTGGCTACTTGGCTGCTTGATGCATTGATTGTATACTCATGTGAATTTCCCAGTGTGTGCATTTTCAAGTTTCCATTAAACCTGCTCTTGGATTGTATCCTGGTGTTTGAAAAATAGAAGCAAGTTGGTATATAGATAAATAGATACTGATATTGCTGTGGTAATCTTGCTCATCTAGGGTCTGAAAATGTTGTTGTTAGTCTCTTCAAATGGACACTTGCCAGTGCAGTGGTGTATACTGTCCCAATCTTTCTGCTGATTACAGGTGATGGTAAACCTGTCGGGTTCATATCCAGGAAGACACTGGTACTCAATATGTTACCATATTTTCTGGTAGCTAACATTAACTATAAAAACACTGCAACCCAGCCCACCCGGTTTCCCTCGCAGCCCCACCTCCAAACCCAAACATCACTGCAGTGCCCCTCCCAGCATGCCCCTCCCATTTTTGAGAATTTTTCAAAGTTGAGCCAGGGGTGAAGTTGAAGCTGAAAGTAGTGGAGTGTAGTTACTCTTTAATGCCAGAGGAGGTTTGAACTCTGCAGTTATTGATCAGCAGAGCGTTGGCGATTTTAAGCACTGTGCGCCTCAGACACTTGGCGACCCGCTGTAACTTTACATGGTCTGACACTTCGTGAGTTGCTGTGCTTCCTAAATGTTTCCACTTTTCAATGATACCACTCACAGTTGATGGTGGAATATCTAGGTAGGGAATAAATCTCGCAAACTGACTAGTTGCAATGGTGGCATCCTATTACAGTACCACGCTCAAATTCAGTGAGCTCTTTAGAACAATTCATTCTTTCACTCTTTCTATGTTTCATTCTTTTTATGTTTATAAAGGCAGACTGCATGGCTGGGTGCTTGAGTTTATGCACCTGTGGCAATGGGACTGAATGAAACACTTTAATTCAATGATTAAGAAGTGTGTCCCAATATTTTTGTCAATATAGTGTATTTTTTGGACATGCGCAGACGTCTAAAACAGATCATGATCAGACTTTAAGGGAGTCAATTTTGTATGTTCACAGGCATCAAAAAGAGGCCCTATCCAAACATCTGTAGACGTTCAGAAGTGGGCCTAGTTTGATGTGCAGATATTGAACCTGTAACATGTTTCTCAGATGTACAAAATATGGTCTAAACTATAATTGACATGATTTCTATCACATCTGTAGGTCTCGCCAATGTTGCACGTTTGCTGGGTTTATTTTAACATGATCATTGTGGTTTAACTCCTAATAACACAGCTGAATCACACTGACTGCTGTCAAATTTGAAGCTTAAAAAAGGTGTGGGAACCTGGTGTGTGAGCAAAGTATCAGTAAGTAGTACTCTGCTCACTTGCATCTCTCCTCACATTGCAAATCCAATTCCCAATTCCATTAGGACAGTATGTGAAATGCTAATAAAACACAAAACTGATTTATAAATTCACTTTGATGTGTTTTAAACAAACGCAGTGCAAGACAAGATATTTAATGTTTCATCTTATCAACTTCAATGTTTTTTGTAAATTACACTCATTCTCAAATTGATGTCTGCAGCACGTTCGGAAGAAGTTGGGAAAGGGGCAAATCTAGGGTTTGGAATATTGTGAAATGTTCAGATAACATTTTGATGTAATCATGCTTGGGTATAAAAAAAGCATCCAGGAAATGCCTAGTTGTTTAAGGAAGCGTCAATGATCGCCACTTTGCCAAAAAATGTATCAACATATAGTCCAACTGTTGAGAAACAATTGTCCATAATGAGAGACTGCAAGGTACGCTATGGTGCATAATATTATCAAAAGATTCAGGGAATCTAGAAATGTCTTAAAATGTGCATAAAAAGCAAGGCCAAAAACCACAAATGAATGATGGCCATGATCTTCAATCTTTCAAAAAGCACTGCATTAAAAACGAGCCTGTTCTGTAACAGTTCACCATGCCTTAATACAGGTCACACAAAATTTACTAATCACTGTCTTCTTTTTTTAATGGCATTATGCTTACTCTCCTAACTTTTTTGGCATTTGGTTTGTATTAAGCATTTGCATATTATGCGGAGGGGGCAGGGGTTCAGACATACATTTCATGTTGATTTTTTTTTATACATTTCATCATGTTGAAATTATTTTTAAAAATAAATTTAAATAAATATTATTTACAAAATCATAATCATGACATTTGCAAAAGTTTAGAAACCCTTCCATTTGTAGTTAACATGTTAGGCCTTTACTGACTCAATAGAATAGGTTAGGCAGGTCAAGAATTGTCATTTTGACTTATCAGCTGATGTCCAGAGTGTAAAAATTCTCTGACTCTTCAAACCTTGAACTAACACTTAACAACTATGAGTTCCTCAAAGCAGCTGGCAGAGGACCTAAAAATTAAGCTGATGCCTACAAGGCAAGGCTATAAAAAGATGTCAACATGCTTCTAGCTGTCTGGAAAACTGTCTGGAATGTTATTAATAATGGTAGTTAAGGGAAACTAACTACAAGTCAAGGCATCTAGAAAACCAAGAAAACTGTCTGATAGAACTTGTGTATTGGCTAGAAAGGCAAAGCAAAACCCCCATAAGACAAGGTCCTGCAGGAAGGTTTAGCAAAACAGGAGTGGTGGTGTACAGTTCTGTGCAGCGTTACTTGCACAAACATGATCTGCATGAAACAGTCATCATAAGGAAACCTTACCTATGATGTGGTATTTTGGAAACAAGATCTATGGTAAAAATGGAACAATTAGGCCAGAATCATCAAAAGTATGTTGGAGAAGAAGCATCATTTGATGAAAAGAACTGGGTGGGAAAAGAACAGTGGGGATGTATTATGCTTTGAGGTTGTGTGGCAGCCAATGGTACAGGAAACACTGTGCTAGTAGATGAAAAAATAGATTAGAAAAGATAGATCTGTAAACAGGACAATGATCCAAAACATAACTCAGAATCCACCTACTTCAAGAAATGCAAGCTGAAGCTTTTGGAGTGCCCCCCACAGTCCCCTGACTTATAGATCATTCAAAAACTGTGGGTAGATGTTAAATGTGCATGCAAGACGGCCCAAGCATATCATAGAACTAGAAACGTTCTGCATGAAAGAGTGGGTTAAAACTCCTAAAACTCCTAACTGACAACAAAATCATTTGCAGATCTGATACCTGCCAAAGGTACTGGTTTAGTTGGGTGTCCAAACTTGTACACATACCACCATCACTTGGCTACTTGGCTGCTTGATGCATTGATTGTATACTCATGTGAATTTCCCAGTGTGTGCATTTTCAAGTTTCCATTAAACCTGCTCTTGGATTGTATCCTGGTGTTTGAAAAATAGAAGCAAGTTGGTATATAGATAAATAGATACTGATATTGCTGTGGTAATCTTGCTCATCTAGGGTCTGAAAATTTTGTTGTTAGTCTCTTCAAATGGATACTTGCCAGTGCAGTCGCGCATATTGTCCCAATCTCCCTTCTGATTACAGGTGATGACAAACCTGTCGGGTTCATGTCCATGTAGGCACTGGTACTCGATATTTGTGCCTGGTTTCTTCAGTGTCTTTGCATTTTTGATTGTTGGCACGGTACACGTCACCTCTGAAAGACAGACAATAGATCGTACGATAGTATATCATTTTTCCATATTTGCTCACCTTGTCATGTTGTTTTCCCCAACTGGGGAGACTACACTTGGACTCTCCCTGACTCCGCCCAATCACACTTGAGTTCTGAGTGTGTTGTGTTTATATAGTTTTCCTGCTTGTCTTACTGGATTTGGACTGTGGACATGTCTCTTATGTTGCCTGCTTGTCTTTTGACCTTTGCCTGTTTTGACAGTGAGCACTGGACCGCCCAAATAAAGCCACTTTGCACTTGCAACTGGCTTACAAGCCAGTGGACCAGATTCTTAAAACACAAAGATTTACAGTGGCATTAAGAGCAAACAGAGAACTGACAGCATGTTTTCTCAATGAATATTATCGGCATGTTTTACCATTCGTGTGATATGTGGCACTGTGATGATTTACCCTGACTTGCATGTCCTGACAGAGCGGTGATGTTTCCTTACACAGGCAGGTCATCAACAAATTATGCACGTATACCCACTTTGTTGGTTATACAGTTTATTTAAAGGGCAGATTTTTATATCGGACACATCTATCTTGTTGGTCCACCTTGTAGATGTAAAGTCAAAGACGATAGCTCATCTGTTGCTGCACAGGTAGTTTTAGTCATCTGCTAGTCTTCCAGCAGTGGTCACAGGACACTATTGGCTGGGTATTTTTGGTTGGTGGACTATTCTCAGTCCAGCAGTGACACTGAGGTGTTTAAAAACTCCAGCAGCACTGTTGTGTCTGATCCACTCAGACCAGCACAACACACACTAACACGCCACCTCCATGTCAGGGTCACTGCAGTGCTGAGAATGATCCACCACTTAAATAATACCTGCTGTGTGGTGGTCCTGTGGGGGTCCTAACCATTGATGAACAGGTTAAAAGGGGGCTAACAAAGTATGCAGAGAAACAGATGGACTATACTCTGTGACTGTAGAACTACCAAGTGAACCTATGTGGTAGGTGGAGCTGATAAAATGAACAGTGAATGTAGATACAAGCTTTAAATCCCATGTGTCGAACACAAGGCCCACAGGCCAGATCAGGCCCAGGACACAATCCTATCCGGCCTGCAGAAGTATTTTAATTTTCTATTAATTTTTGCCTGTTTCAGAATGCGTTGCACTACAGTCCCCAACATGCCCTGCATCATAATGTGCACACCGACTGGCTTACCCCAACAGCAATCTATGGGACAGTGGTTACACCTCAATTCCACACCAGTGATATCACCAAACACACTAGCTGCATTTCAGCTGCAGTTCAACCAACATAAGCACCTAATGTTAGCTAAGCAGCTCAGAAGTTGAGCCCAAGAGTTAATGAACTTGCAGCATAGAAAAGATGCCAGGTGTCTGAGCAAATAAGTAGGTTTAAAAGACTGAGCTCCTGGAGACATTTCAATTTTGAGTATTTCAAGTATTCATGCAATATTTCAAGGCCTGCTACAAGTGCCTATATTTTGCTGTTGACAATTTGGCATATTCTGAATTAACAGTGACCAATTCAGGTCATAACAAAACGTTACTTAAAAAGGAATAAAAGCATTCTCTGGCCCACAGATTTGTTGAGGTTTTTTAATATGGCCCTTTTAGTGGTTAAGTTTGACATCCCTGCTTCAAACGATCTGGTTGGTAAAATCTTGTGGGCCGTAGAAGCTTTTGTAGTTGGTTGTGTGGGCTGTGAGTTAATAAACATTGGGAACCTCTTCTCTATAGGATCAGCTCTTTTGAGTTTTCAATTTATTTTCAGTCGAATGTGACAGAAATTGGCTCATTTAAGAAGTATGCAGAAAAACAGATGAAATACAGGCTGTAATTGTAGAACTACAAAGTAAATCTATATTGTAGGTAGAACTGATAAAATGAGCTGTGAATGTAGATACAAGCTGGTGTTCTTAATGAAGTGGCTGGTTGGTGTAAATAATAAAAGTATAAGACAGAAGATAAAAATGCATAGATTTTAGAGAACATATTTTTGTACAAAGACAGTGCTGTGTGTGTGAAAACTGGTCCCACTCTGACCCTGACAGCTGGTCTTTAGACTGTACTTCATTTGAGATATTACTCTGTTGCAATGGAAAATGAGAACATTTATTTTTGTATTTGAAGGCCTTGAGTGCTTCTCATTTTTGAGAAAATAGTGCACACTTACTCATTTTCTGATGAAACATACTTACCAAAGATATTTTTGTACCAAAGACTACATTCATTTTGAAGAATGGACATCAGCTAACTATAGTGTTCCGCTAGCTAACTTTTTTTGCCTGGTTATACTCCAGACATTAAAAGAGCGTGCAATAGAGAAACGTGAGGCTGGGTTTTGAGGGGTATATCATTGTTAGCAATAGATTCTGCCACAATCCAGCACCAACAATTTAAACAGGTTGTCCTCAGATGTACAAAATCAGATCTGGTCCCGTGACAGTAGTCATCTGTGGCATGCATTTGCCAGCTCTGCACACCAGACTTATTGGAGACTGTTATTTAACACATTTGCAAGACTTGCAGTTTGAGGAGACAGCATCAGTTTGAATTCCAGATTGATATCTAGCTGCATGTTCTTAGTTGCATTTATTACAGAGATTAAATGACTGTGCTGGCTGGTTGTGTAGAGCTGTAAGAAAATGCTTTAGACTCAACTTTGAGTTAAAGCTGTTTTTTAAGACGGTGGTAAAAAAGACACTTCTGCTTTCCTGCTCTGCTCCCTGCTGTTCATATATTATTATTATTATTATTATTATTATATTTGTATTATTTATATTTTTTCATTAGATTGTAGTATTAAGCTTTACTACATAGCAAATTAATCAAGTGTGTGTGTATATATATATATATATATATATATATATATATATATATATATATATATACAGTCACGTGCATAAATATTTGGCTTTCGAACAAAGACTCCAGGAGTTGGAGTTGAAATTAATATGAGGGTATTTACATCCAAATTATGTGAACAGTGTAGGAGTTACAACTGTTTCCCTACATGCCACCCCACGCTAGCAAGGTGTGTGAGTTCATGTCAAGTGTGGTATTTACTTGCTTCACCGGCAGTGACAACAGTATTAACTCTTTATTTGAAGTCCAAAAAGCTGTCAGTAAGCCAAAAAATGCTTCACCCAGGAATTTACTGGGGCAAAAGGAAAGAAGCAGCCGGTTTGAAAATATGTGAGTTTCTAGAAACTGACATTTCTGTAACCAGCTGGCTAGAAAACTAACTAGTGAACTAGCTAACCAACCAGTTAACAGCTGCTTGTGACAGCTTTTATTCCTCTTCTTTAGCCTGTTTTTGTGATCTACACAACTATATTATTCATTTTTTTCATTGCTGATTTTCCACAGAGCAGAGATTCCTTTAGAATCCAAAAGATGAAAATGATTACAGAAGTGGAGACTCAGACGCTCTTCTCAGAGATGGGTAGAGTAGCCTAAACCCAGTCTCAAGTAAAAGTATTAACACTTGGATAAAATAATGACTCAAATAAAAAGCAACTTGAGCAGCAGTACAAAAGTAAAAGGGTAACACTTTACATTAAGGGTCGCTAATTAATCATTAAATATATATTTATCAACTATTAATTTCCCATTATTTAGTTATTAGTTAACTATTCATTAAGCATTAGTGTAACAGATTTTGCAATTTTAATATTATTATTGCTAGAACCTTATGTGAGGGTGTGAGGTAACCCGGATTTATTTGAAGTCTACAGACCAGGGCAAGAGAGAGAAACGCTCGCACCAAGGATGCTTTAGAAAAGGGAATTTATTGGCGAAATATCAAACTACTTTTGGCTGGTTGTGTAGAGCTGTAAGAAAATGCTTTAGACTCAACTTTGAGTTAAAGCTGTTTTTTAAGACGGTGGTAAAAAAGACACTTCTGCTTTCCTGCTCTGCTCCCTGCTGTTCATATATTATTATTATTATTATTATTATTATTATATTTGTATTATTTATATTTTTTCATTATTAAGTATACTAGTATACTAGTATACTAAGTATACTAGTATTAAGCTTTACTACATAGCAAATTAATCAAGTGTGTATATATATATATATATATATATATATATATATATATATATACAGTCACGTGCATAAATATTTGGCTTTCGAACAAAGACTCCAGGAGTTGGAGTTGAAATTAATATGAGGGTATTTACATCCAAATTATGTGAACAGTGTAGGAGTTACAACTGTTTCCCTACATGCCACCCCACGCTAGCAAGGTGTGTGAGTTCATGTCAAGTGTGGTATTTACTTGCTTCACCGGCAGTGACAACAGTATTAACTCTTTATTTGAAGTCCAAAAAGCTGTCAGTAAGCCATCATTAGGCTGAAGAAATAAATCAAACCCAACTGAGAGATAGCAAAACCATTAGATGTGTCCAAATCCACTGTTTGATACATTCTTAAAAAAAATAATGAATAAAAATAATGCAATAGTGAGAAAAGACCAGGGAAAACAACAGGTGGATGAAGGAAGATTCTTTCTCTGATGAAAAAAACCTTCACAACAGTTGGGAAGAGGAAGAAGACCCTCCAGGAGTAATGTATATGTGATAAATATAATAAAAATGACAGACATGCATTTTCCAAACCCACTGAAGGTTCTACACTGCTGTGTTTGCCTAACAGTGTTTATGTTCCACACAGCCTGTGCAAGGAGGTCATAGCATCTAACTGATGTTCCAACAAGACAAACAGAATCTCTAAAATCTGAAGAGTACTGAGTGCCATGACAAGGTGCAGTGACAGAAATAGTGCTACAATAATAAATCTAGTAAAATCACAATATTTATCGACTAAAAATATGATTAGTATAAAGTACTTCATTGTAATACATTTTCAATAGTTTCCATATCTGAATGTGCAGTGAAAGGTAAAGGATACAGTTACTACAGAAAAACATATGATGTAAAAAAGTCTTACCATCTTGTGATGATGTGTAAACACAGAAACACACAAAGAAAAGATGTAGAATAACTAGACTCCGCTTCTTCATTTTGCTGAAAAAGTTAGTATGACGGTTGAGACTAAGCAAGTTCTGCTTTAAGCAAGGTCAATATTTTTCAACTGAGTCCCGCCCATTCCTGTATTTCCAACCCAGTGAAAGGAAATTACACAAGAAAACACCTTTAAATTTGTATTATATTATTATTTTATTTCTTTATTTTTTAACTTTTAATCACATATATTTTCATGCTAACAGACATGAAGTGATACTGGAATACACAGTTAAATCAGTTTCCTGCGTTAAAAATGACTAAAACTAATTCACAGCTCTAATTTGGGCTGGACTGGGGAAAAAATCTCAACATTGTAAGTGTATATAACCTATTCAGGACACAGACCTGTGAGGAAAGTCAGTGTAGTGATTTGGGTGCAAAGCATATTAGAATACAACAGAACAGAACTGTATTAAAAGGTTCTGCTTGTGTAGAAAAAAATGCTTCACCCAGGAATTTACTGGGGCAAAAGGAAAGAAGCAGCCGGTTTGAAAATATGTGAGTTTCTAGAAACTGACATTTCTGTAACCAGCTGGCTAGAAAACTAACTAGTGAACCAGCTAACCAATCAGTTAACAGCTGCTTGTGACAGCTTTTATTCCTCTTCTTTAGCCTGTTTTTGTGATCTACACAACTATATTATTCATTTTTTTCATTGCTGATTTTCCACAGAGCAGAGATTCCTTTAGAATCCAAAAGATGAAAATGATCACAGAAGTGGAGACTCAGACGCTCTTCTCAGAGATGGGTAGAGTAGCCTAAACCCAGTCTCAAGTAAAAGTATTAACACTTGGATAAAATAATGACTCAAATAAAAAGCAACTTGAGCAGCAGTACAAAAGTAAAAGGGTAACACTTTACATTAAGGGTCGCTAATTAATCATGAAATATATAATAATCAACTATTAATTTCCCATTATTTAGTTATTAGTTAACTATTCATTAAGCATTAGTGTAACAGATTTTGCAATTTTAATATTATTATTGCTAGAACCTTATGTGAGGGTGTGAGGTAACCCGGATTTATTTGAAGTCTACAGACCAGGGCAAGAGAGAGAAACGCTCGCACCAAGGATGCTTTAGAAAAGGGACTTTATTGGCGAAATATCAAACTACTTTTGGACTACATTCAATTATAAACAACAGAAAATAAAACCAGAAAACAAAACAAAACAAAGTGATAGTAATGAAAGACAAAATAGCTCGAGTAAGTTAGAGTGATTCACGGCTAAATGGTATGAGGCAGTGTGGTTGGGGGAGTCGCTTGGGAGAGCCTCTAGAGAATTAACCTAAGCCTGGACGGGAAGAACTATATGGCTGGATGTACCTATAAAAGTTCTCTTATTAAATAAATTGGCGTCAGGGCCCTGAATGCAAATTGATGGCTCCAGCTTACGTGGGAGTCGGGGGCTGACTTCAGGCGGGGTCGTCTCAGGACAGACTCGATCGAAGGCTGGAGCTCACGCGGTGGTTCCTCTCCTCGCTGGCCGTGGATGCTGCATCTCCGTGCGGGCATGCGCCTTCCCGTCAGTGATTGGGCGGAGGCGTCTCGTGGCCGTCTGACGGTGGAGCTTGGGTGGCCTTTCGAGGGTCGATCTGTTCACAGATCAGTGCGTGGCTCTGGGTGCGATGCTGGGTCTCCGTGGCGTCAGAACCGCTCCCACTCCGCTGGCAAGGTTCAGGTTGCAATCAGGGTTCTGAGGCTGGTGGTACCAATTTAACTAACTACCTCTCTTTAGCAGAATCGAAAGTTATGGATATATCCTCCCTGGCCCGACAAGAAATATCCACCTTCCTTCTCTGAGGGTGGTTCAAACTTAAGGTGTGTAGGCGAACAGGCAAACAAACAAAGGTTTCAGATCTGATAATTTAGCGTCCTAATACTTCTGACCTGTCTTTCTGACCTAGGCCGGCACAAACTTAGAAACTTGTTGCGAACGCAGGAACTCTCCCAAATTTTGCGGTGCACTCTGGTTTTGTTCAGCTGGGGGCCGTTCCCTTCAGGGGTGGAACCCAGGTGTTGATAGGTTCTCTCACCTAACGGATAATTAGCTATTCCTAATTCTTGGTCCTGATTGGTGGGGGTTTCTCCGTGCGCCCTACCAGGGAACTCCCTCCTTTGTTCCTTCTAGGTTTAAAAGTTTAATTCGATTGAACAAAACAGTTTTCAGATCAATTAGGTTACTAAAATCCATAACCTACAAACCTAACATTTAGGTATCTACGTGCAGTTTCTACCCACATTATCTGAGAACAACTATGGCAAAGGCAGAAACAATCTTATAGATAATCCTTGGGTGTCTTTTCATTGCAGGAACTTTCAACACAGTAAAATCATTACTTCAAATGACTAAATCAAGTAAACGAAAAGAGTAAAAAAATAGAAGGCTAAATAAAATAAGTGACAAGAAAACCTAGGTGCATAGTGTTCTAAAATCACTACTTTAAATGGTTATTTCGGTAACTTCAGACATTTATCCCACACATTCCTAACGTCTGACAAAGAAAGGATGAATACACTTTAATTAACTGAGTATACTAATACAAGCATCATCACTCGTGAAATTAGATAACGTTGATAGTCGAGCATGCATATCAATGAGTTTTCCTGGGATCCTTTGTGAGTAACAGTCCTTAGGTGGTGGCGTGGTAATCCTCGTTTTCACCCCTTGGGGGTGCTGTGGGTCCATGCTTGAGATCCCTAGGGAATTTAGAAAGTTGGAATTGTGCCGTCCAAAGTCGTACAAATTCCGTTTTGGTATGTCTAGTTTAGTTAAAAAGATTTTCTAACGAATGGTTGTAGTTTGGAGGGGACAAGTACCTTAGAAATGTACTTTCTGTTACTTAGGATAAAAGTTGCCCACAGGATTTTGGAGACTAGCGCAGCTGCATTCCAGTGAAGAGTCCTGTTTTTCTCCAGGTCAAAGGAGAGGGGTGCAGCCTCTTGATTCAGCCGTAAATCTGACTGAGTCTGGGGTTGGGGTATTAAGCCGACAGCTTTATGCCACAATCCCAGACTTGATGGAGCCAAAAGGCCCTTAACTTTTGGGTAAACACTCTGCCGGAGGTAGAGTTTCAGCCAGTGTTCGCTACATTAGCTATTACTTAGTAATTGATTAAGCACTTATCAATTAGTAATTAAGTACACTGTTAGGTCATAAGTTAGTTTGTCGTTAGTTTATGGCTTACTTACTCATTATCTGTGTACTAACTGCTGCTTATTACATTGTTAATTAACTAATAAGTATTTTTCTTCATATAAAGAAGTAACGTGATAATTTACTAGCACTTATGTGTTAATCCCGCTAATTATCTGTTAATTAACTTTCCATCACCTCCATATATTCAGTTGCTTCACTTTTCTCACATTGGTTCTTGTTCATTAAAGATGCTTATGGTCACATCTGACCGTAAGATGAGTGCACACAAATTCACTGACAGTCTTGTTATTCATCACGTTCATCTTGGCATATCTGTACAAACTAACTCATATCTGGTAGGAGTGCATGTAAATTTGGGCATAAATGCTGGATATGTGGCTAATTAACCAAAACTATTATCAACATAATCTGTAATAGCAAAAATAAAAACAACAGTAGAAAATATCAATAATACTAATTTGTGTGCATGACAGTCCAGTACAAAAGTGGATGTTCTTACTTTACATGCACATTGATATAAACAAGTGCTGCAACTATTTCATGTTCCTTTTAAAGACACATTACACTGTGATTTTGTTGTCATACACTGCAATAATACAGCATTTATTTTAGGGAATTAATTGCACTAAACAATCACTGTACTATGTTAACAACACTGAGAGTATTTTGTTTTATTTCACATCTTATTTTTTTCCAGTTGTTGTCATTTTAATACTATTAAGTACTCACTGCTGGACATCAAACTCCACCCATGAGCACAGCCATTAGCTTTCATGCCAAACACTGCCGTTTTATTGGCTGGCTACTGAAACATCTGCATGAATTAGTGTGTGCTTCATGTAAATGATATGTAAATGAGGTGCTGGTAGGCTGGTTTCATGCACTGAAGCTGATTTATCATTTATGCTCAAATCTCCACTTGTTTCCACATCGTACAAAATTGTTATGAATCAGACGCAGAGCCATTCATACCTTATAAAAGGCAAAAAAAGGTCTTCTTTTTTACACGACTTTGATGATTAATGGCCATTAGATCTTTACATTTTGACCATTAATTACTTCTTCATTTCCTCTTAATCAACCATTCATTGCTTCTTAAATTCCTCTTACTTAACCATTAATTACTGCTTTTGTGTCCCTCCAAGTAAAGTGACAACAAGTAAACGTTGTCACTTTACTTGGAGGGACACAAAAGTAGTAATTAATGATTAAGTAAGAGGAATTTAAGAAGTAATTAATGGTCAAAATGTAAAGATCTAATGGCCATGGGCCCTTTTCACAAAGAGTCGCGATTACGTCCGGATTAAGCATTAGCAGTGAACTATAATGCTCAAATACTGAGCTACAACAGACATATGTTAGTTTTCGTGCACTATCATGACAAAAAGTGAGAACAGAAAGAGAATTGAAGCACTGATTTAACTGTAAACACAGCTAAAATGCTGTGTGTGGTGTAGCCCTGCTTACTGCTGCTGCAGCTGCTCACATCAAGCAGTGTCTCTGTAGTTGTACAACATGCCAGCGATTTCTGTAATATTTCTGTTTTCAAAATAAATAAAAGTTCTTCTGTGTAGTATGAATTTGGTAGACGTTGTTTAGCTGTAGCTAGCTAGCAACGCTAGAAGCCATTTCTAACTGTGGCTGTATTCCCAAAATAAGGAAGCTAGCTTTCATTAGCTGCTGCCACCAGCCGGCTAACGTGGAGCAGGTTCTGTGACACATTTAGCTACAGGATGGCAGCGACTTCTGACATAAACACAAACAAAAACTTTCATATGTAAAGTCTATTTGATAGACATCGTTTAAACTGTATTAGCTTACGGTAGGCTAGCAGGCTACAGTCGCTAATTAGCTAGCCTACCATTAGCAGTTTGAGGAACACCAGCTTC